TTTTTTTTTTCCCTTTTTTTAGTTTTTTTTTTTTTTTTTTTTTACCCCTTTTTCCCCCCCTTTTTTCTCTTTTTCCTTTCTTCTTTCCTCTTTTTTTTAAAAAAATTTTTTCCCCTTTTTAAAATTTTTCCCTTCTTATTTTTTTTTTTTTTCCCTTCCCCTTTCTTTTTCCCCCCTTTTTTTCTATTTTTTTTTTCCCTCTTTTTTTCCCCCCTTTTCCCTTTTTTTCTTTTTTTTCCTCCTTTTTTTTCTTTCTTTTTTCTTCTCTCTCCCCCCTTTTTTTCCTTTTTTCTTCTTTCTCCTTCTCTGTTTCCCCTTCCTCCTTCTTTTACCTTCCTTCTCTCCTTTCTTGCCTTCCTTCTCCCCTTTCTCACCTTTCCCTTCCCCCTTCCCTTCCTCCCTTTCTCCCCTTTTTTTTTCCCCCCCCTCCTTTTCCCCTTTTTTCCTCCTTCCTCCCCCTCCCTCTCCCCCCTTCCCCTTTTGGCCCCTTTTAAAGCCCATTTTTTTCCCCAAAATCTTTTTTTTCCCCCCTCACCCCCCCCCCCCCCACAACCACCAAAACCCCCACCCCACCCCAAATTTTTCCATGAAAAACACCACAAACATTTTTAAATTTCCCCCAAACCCAAGCAAACAAACAAAACCCCACAACAAAAAAAAAAAAACCCCAAAAACCCCCCAAACAAAAACCCCAAAAACCCCCCCCAAAGGGGGGAAACAAATTACTCCCCAAACAATTTTAATTTTCAAACACAAACCCCAAAAAAATTTTTAAAAAAAAAAAATTTTTTTAAAAAACCCTTAATTTTAAAAAAAAGGGAATTTTTCTTTTAAAGAATGTTTAAAGGAAAACCTAAAGAAACTTTAATAATTCCTTTATTAACTGGGGTTTTCCCTGGAAAATTTTTTTTCCCAAAAATTTTTTTCCCTTTTAAAAGGGGTAAACGGGGGGTAAAACCCCCCCGTTTCCCGGGGAAAAAAAACCCCCTTCCAAAAGGATAATTAAGGGGGCCCCTTTTAATTTTTTTTAATTGGGGTTTTTTGGGGGTTTCGCCCAAAGAAAAAAAACCCAAAAAAAAAAATCCTTCTCTCCTTCTCTCAGCCTCTCCTTCTCTCCTTCTCTTTGCCTCTCCTTTCCTCCTTCTGTCCTTCTCTCCTTCTCTCAGCCTCTCAGTCTCTCCTCTCATCCTCTCACGTCTTAGTGATCACCATGTGAGGGGCTACAGACCACAGAGTCAGTGAGTCTCAGATCTATCCTAATCATGCATGCAAAATTGTGCACACACACGCATACACACACACACGCACACACACACACACACACACACACACACGCACACACACACACACACACACACACACACAGTATATTCACACATGAATAGCCTACACACTCATATACATGTGTTTATTTCTTACACCCACACAAGACCCACAGACAAGTACATGATTCATATTCATAAAGACCCACAGACAAGTACATAATTCATATTCATAAAGACCCACAGCAAACCATATCTTCCCCTCTTCTAACCCTGAGATGTTGGGAGGCATGTTCACATTTACTCAGCTCCACAACAACTCATCATCATCATCATCATCATCATCATCATCATCATCATCAGGGACTAGCACTGGAGGAAACTAAGTTTACTCTGATCAATAAATAATGTGTTTTCCTCTTTCTGTACAGGTTATGAAGTCACTGAGGAGCTGGTTGGATGGGTACAGTATCTGTAGATATGAAATGTCTTTAAATGAAAGGCGTTATACGTGCAGTCAAGGCCTAACACAGTGTTCCATATTAGTATACGACTGATTAGAGCTGGAGTGGTTCTCCCTCTGTAGATCTATTTGTTACCATAGGGAGGTTTTTTGAGCCGTGGCAGAGTGACTGTACACCCAGGAACAGATGGTTTAACAGGATTTCTGCTCAACGACTGCTCTTAACAATGCCTGAGTCCCAAATAACACCCTATTCCCTTTATAGTGCACTACTATTGACCAGGGTTCATAAGACTCTGGTCAAAAGTAGTGCACTATATATGGAATGGGGTGCCATTTGGGATGCATGCAAATATCTGGCCACTCATGTGAGCCTGACATGTTTTATGGGCTAATTATCAGAGCGAAAAAAAAAGAGAGACAGATCTAAATTAAAACGTTCGTTATGAAACTGAGGGCGTAGGGAGTGGGGGCTCACTCCTTCAGTCTGTGGTGCATGGTGTATGTACGTACTTTGGATTTGTACTGAATCATGTTGAGTTAATGAGTTTGATGGCGGTGGATGAGGCTGGTTGCTCAACCTTGTTTTTTTTTTATGTGCTGTATTTATTCTCTTTTATAATAAAATGTCTAATAGAAGAAATTAAGTTAACCTTGAAGCTACCAACATATTTCACATACATTGATTACCAACTGGAGTAATTTTGACCCCAAGAAGAAACTCTTGAAAAAAAAGCAACATTCATAGCAAAATATAAATGTATTTCTCATCAAAACATCATTAGACAATACACATTAGCACTAAAAAGCTAATTTACCATCCTTTGATTGTGGTATCATTTAGTTTTCAGAATTTAAGTAAATATTACTTTTGTCACATTTTTGTAAATGTATTGACAAAAAGTGATTCAATTCACTTTAAAAAAAAAAAGTGATCCTGAGAGACATTGGCCAATGACACGGCTAGCTTTCTTCAGTCATTTACCCCACAGACACTATTAGCATCGCTGTTAGTGAAACAATAGGAGTGGTGCGTGGCTATGGCAGCTTGCTTCAGAAAGCACGCCCAAATGTCACTTCAAACCAAATGTCACAGCACCCAGAATATCATAACAAGTTGCACATGTAGAATATTGGAGGAAATTAAAGGAATTCTGGTATTAATATCACATATTGTGTAGAATCATTTTTTTTGGGGGGGGGGGGGGGGGGGTTGGAACACACACCAATACAGCATTGGTTTCTGTATTAAAGTTCTACCGAGTATTCATACCTCAAGCTATGCAGAGGAACATGTTAAAATAACACATACACAATACCTCGTAATGCTGCTGCAATCTTACTCCATCAAGGCAATAACTGATGAAGTTGTGTGTTAGCATAGCACCTCTGCTTATAGCACAGAGACAAAGGAGCAAATCTAATGCTGTTGAGAGTCTTCCTTAATATCTGGGGGGGGGTTGGAACACACACCAATACAGCATTGGTTTCTGTATTAAAGTTCTACCGAATATTCATACCACTAACAGACTTTTATAAGCTGTTTTGACTGCAACTAAGCATTATGTCTATCTGAGGTAACTTTGCTTTTGTACACATCACACCTAGGCGATTCCATAAAGGTGGTCCCATCTCCGCAGGCGATCTGTCTATCTGAATCTACATTAAGAGTATCTAGAGTTCTGTATTACAGTTCTATCCATTATTTTGCCAGATTTTCTATGCCATTGACAGATGTTTGCATGCACAGGCTGGTTATTGTACACAGTCATACAGTACTTGGTATAGAGAAGAACATGGGGAGCTACAGCATATCTCTGCAGATGATCTGAATTTTTATTTATTTTTATAATCTACCCACTCACTAACTGTAAATCGCTCTGGATAAGAGCGTCTGCTAAATGACTAAAATGGAAATTAATGATCTGTCTATCTGGTCAAAATCACTAATACAGGCCCCCCTCCACCCTCTAGTGGTATGACTTGTATGTATGTCTCCAGAGAAACCTAGATTCAAATACAGCTCATATTCATCAAGTTACTATAGGTGGAATTAGGAAGTAATCAATTACTCTAATTTTTTAAAAGTCCATATTGAAACAGCAACACTAAACAATTATTTAGATTTGTTCATGACAAGTTGATTGTCAAAATCATGAAAAATGGGAATAAACAACCTTTGGGCTTTGATTAAAAATATGCCTCTGGGTTAAAATGACCCCAGTCGGTAGCTTAAGGGTTAATGGTTGGGATATAGTGTCTGTTGCTTAGAATATGCTGCAATTCATAGATGTCATTGCAGACTGTCCTGTGTCAAACCCCGTTGCACAGTTTTTAATGAGAGTGACAGCAAGTCCCTGTGTCACTTTCAAAAAGTGAACTATTCTCAAGCTATGCAGAGGAACATGTTAAAATAACACATACACAATACCTCGTAATGCTGCTGCAATCTTACTCCATCAAGGCAATAACTGATGAAGTTGTGTGTTAGCATAGCACCTCTGCTTATAGCACAGAGACAAAGGAGCAAATCTAATGCTGTTGAGAGTCTTCCTTAATATCTGTCCATGACATATGGTAAACTGTCTGGTCGGACTGAATGAAGAGAAAGTTCCCTATAGCTTTAGAACTCAAATCAGTGCTTCCACCCATGTTGTTTATGTCGATGAGTTTCTCAACATCCCTTCATCATTAAGGGTCACAATAGGAAGGAGGAGATGGAGAAAAGGGCAGCAATACCATAAGACAGAGGGGAAAAGAGTGTAAAATCAATATGACATTCAAGGCAGTAGCACCAGCTGTGCCCTTGGAGGCAGTAGTGCTAGATGTTCCCTTGGAGGAAGTAGTGCTAGCTGTTCTCTTGAAATCAGTAGTGCTAGCTGTTCCCTTGGAATCAGTAGTGCTAAATGTTCCCTTGGAGGCAGTAGAGCTAGCTGTTCCCTTGGAGGCAGTAGAGCTAGCTGTTCCCTTGGAGGCAGTAGTGCTAGCTGTTCCCTTAAAATCATTGGTGCTAGCTGTTCCCTTGGAGGAAGTGGTGCTAGCTGTTCCCTTGGAGGCAGTAGTGCTAGTTGTTCCCTTGGAGGCAGTAGTGCTAGCTGTGCCCTTAAAGGCAGTAGTGCTAGATGTTTCCTTGGAATCAGTAGTGTTAGCTGTTCCCTTGAAATCAGTAGTGCTAGCTGTGCCCTTGGAGGAAGTGGTGCTAGCTGTGCCCTTGGAGGCAGTAGTACTAGTTGTTCCCTTGGAGGCAGTAACGCTAGATGTTCCCTTGGAATCAGTAATGCTAGATGTTCCCTGGAGGCAGTAGTGCTAGCTGTTCCCTTGGAGGCAGTAGTGTTAGCTGTTCTCTTGGAGGCAGTAGCGATAACTGTGCCTTTGGAGGCAGTAGTGCTAGCTGTGCCCTTGGATGCAGTAGTGCTAGCTGTTCCCTTGGAGGCAGTTGTGCTAGTTGTTCCCTTGGAATCAGTAGTGCTAGATGTTCCCCTGGAGGCAGTAGTGCTAGCTGTTCCTTTGGAGGCAGTAGTGCTAGCTGTTCCCTTGGAGGCAGTAGTGTTAACTGTGCCCTTGGAGGCAGTAGTGCTAGCTGTTCCCTTGGAGGCAGTTGTGCTAGTTGTTCCCTTCTAGGCAGTAGTGCTAGTTGTTCCCTTGGAATCAGTAGTGTTAGCTGTATCCTTGGAGGCAGTGATGCTAGCTGTGACCTTGGAGGCAGTTGAGCTAGCTTTTCCCTTGGAGTCAGTAGTGCTAGCTGTTCCCTTGGAGGCAGTAATGCTAGATGTTCCCTTGGAATCAGTAAGCTAGCTGTGCCCTTGGAATCAGTATTGCTAGCTGTGCCCTTGGAGGCAGTAGTGCTAGTTGTTTCCTTGGAGGCAGTAGTGCTAGCTTTTCCCTTTGAAGCAGTAGTGCTAGCTGTGCCCTTGGAATCAGTAGTGCTAGATGTGCCCTTGGAGGCAGTGATGCTAGCTGTGACCTAGGAGGCAGTAGAGCTAGCTTTTCCCTTGCAGTCAGTAGTGCTAGATGTTCCCTTGGAGATAGTAGTGCTAGCTGGTCCCTTGGAGGCAGTAGTGCTAGATGTTCCCTTGGAATCAGTAGCGCTAGCTGTGCCCTTGGAATCAACAGTCTAGCTGTTCCCTAGGAGGCAGTAGTGCAAGCTGTTCCCTTGGAGGCAGTAGTGCTAGCTGTTCCCTTGGAGGCAGTAGCAATAACTGTGCCCTTGGAAGCAGTAGCGCTAGCTGTTTCCTTGGAGGCAGTAGTGCTAGCTGTTCCCTTCTAGGGAGTAGTGGTAGATGTTCCCTTGGAATCATTAGTGCTAGCTGTTCCCTTGAAATCAGTGGTGCTAGCTGTTCCCTTGGAGGAAGTGGTGCTATCTGTCCCCTTGGAGGCAGTAGTTTTAGTTGTTCCCTTGGAGGCAGTAGTGCTAGCTGTTCCCTTGGAGACAGTAGTGATAACTGTGCCCTTGGAGGCAGTGGCGCTAGCTGTTTCCTTGGAGGCAGTAGTGCTAGCTGTTCCCTTGGAGGCAGTAGTGCTAGCTGTTCCCTTGGAGACAGTAGTGATAACTATGCTCTTGGAGGCAGTAGTGCTAGCTTCGCCCTTGGAGGCAGTAGTGCTAGCTGTTCCCTTGGAGGCAGTAGCGATAACTGTGCCCTTGGAGGCAGTGGCGCTAGCTGTTTCCTTGGAGGCAGTAGTGCTAGCTGTTCCCTTGGAGACAGTAGTGCTAGCTGTTCCCTTGGAGGCAGTAGTGATAACTATGCTCTTGGAGGCAGTAGTGCTAGCTGTTCCCTTGGAGGCAGTAGTGCTAGCTGTTCCCTTGGAGGCAGTAGTGCTAGATGTTCCCTTGGAGGCAGTAGTGATAACTATGCTCTTGGAGGCAGTAGTGCTAGCTGTTGCCTTGGAGGCAGTAGTGCTAGCTGTTCCCTTGGAGGCAGTAGTGCTAGATGTTCCCTTGGAATCAGTAGTGCTAGCTGTTCCCTTGAAATCAGTGGTTCTAGTTGTTCCCTTGGAGGAAGTGGTTCTAGCTGTGCCCTGGGAGGCAGTGGTGCTAGTTGTTCTATTGGAAGCAGTAGTGCTAGCTGTCCCATTGGAGGCAGTAGTGCTAGCTGTTCCCTTGGAATCAGTAGTGCTAGCTTTTCCCATGGAGGCATTTGTGCTAGTTGTTCCCTTGGATGCAGTAGTGCTAGCTATGCCCTTGGAGGCAGTAGTGCTAACTGTGCCCTTGGATTCAGTAGTGCTAGCTGTTACCTTGGAATCAGTAGTGCTAGCAGTGCCCTAGGAGGCATTAGTGCTAGCTGTTCCCTTGGAGGCAGTAGTGCTGGCTGTGCCTATGGAGGCAGTAGTGCTAGCTGTTCCCTTGGAGGCAGTAGTGCTAGCTGTTCCCTTGGAATCAGTAGTGCTAGCTGTTCCCTTGGAGGCAGTAGTGCTAGATGTACCCTTGGAACCAGTAGTATTAGTTGTTCCCTTGGAATCAGTAGCGCTAACTGTTCCCTTGGAGGTAGTAGTGCTAGTTGTGCCCTTGGAGGCAGTTGTGCTAGTTGTTCCCTTGTAGGCAGTACTGCTAGCTGTGCCCTTGGAATCAGTAGTGCTAGCTGTTCCCTTGGAGGCAGTAGTGCTAGCTGTTCCTTTCGTATCAGTATTGCTAGCTGTTCACATGAAGGAAGTAGTTCCCCTAGGAGGCAGGAGTGCAAGATGTTCCCTTGGAATCAGTAGTGCTATCGGTGCCCTTGGAGACAGTAGTGCTAGATGTTCCCCTAGGAGGCAGGAGTGCTAGCTGTGCCATTGGTGGCAGTAGCACAAGCTGTTCCCTGGAGACAGTAGTGCTAGCTGTTCTCTTGGAGACAGTAGTGATAACTGTGCCCTTGGAGGCAGTAGTGCTCTCTGTTCCATTGGAGGCAGTAGTGCTAGCTGTTCCCTTGGAGGCAGTAGTGATAACGGTGCCCTTGGAGTCAGTATTGCTAGCTGTGCCCTTGGATGCAGTAGTGCTAGCTGTTCCCTTGGAGGCATTTGTGCTATTTGTTCCCTTCTAGGCAGTAGTGCAAGTTGGTCCCTTGGAGGCAGTAGTGCAAGCTGTTCCCTTCGAGGCAGTAGTGCTAGCTGTGCCCTTGGAATCAGTAGTGCTAGCTGTTCCCTAGGAGGCAATAGTGCTAGCTGTTCCCATGGAGGCAGTGGTGCTACCTGTGCCCTTGGAGGCAGTAGTGCTAATTGTTCCCTTGGAATCAGTAGTGCTATCTATGCCCTTAAAGGTAGTTGTGCTAATTGTTCCCTTGAAATCAGTAGTGCTAGCTGTTCCCTTGGAATCAGTAGTGCTAGTTGTTCCCTTGGAATCAGTAGTGCTAGTTGTTCCCTTGGAGGCAGTAGTGCTAAATGTTCCCTTGGAGGCAGTAGTGCTAGCTGTTCTCTTGGAGGCAGTAGTGATAACTGTGCCCTAATAGGCAGTAGTGCTAGCTGTTCTCTTGGAGGCAGTAGTGCTAGCTGTGACCTTGGAGAAAGTAGAGATAGCTTTTCCCCTGGAGTAGTAGTGCTAGATTTTCCCTTGAAGGCAGTAGTTCTAGCTGTTTCCTTGGAGGCAGTAGTGTAAGATGTTCCCTTGGAATCAGTAGCGCTAGCTGTGCCCTTGGAATCAGTAGTGCTAGCTGTGCCCTTGGAGGCAGTAGTGCTAGTTGTTTCCTTGGAGGCAGTAGTGCTAGCTGTTCCCTTGGAGGCAGTAATGCTAGCTGTGCCCTTGGAATAAGTAGTGCTAGATGTGCCCTTGGAGGAGTGATGCTAGCTATGACCTTGGAGGCAGTAGAGCTAGCTTTTCCAATGGAGTCAGTAGCGCTAGCTGTGCCCTTGGAATCAGTGGTCAGGCTGTTTCCTTGGAGTCAGTAATGCTAGATGTTCCCTTGGAGGCAGTAGTGCTAGCTGTGCCCTAGGAGGCAGTAGTGCTAGCTGTTCCCATGGAGTCAGTAGCGCTAGCTGTGCCCTTGGAATCAGTGGTCTAGCTGTTTCCTTGGAGGCACTAGTGCTAATTGTTCCCTTGGAATCAGTAGTGCTAGCTATGCCCTTAAATGCTGTAGTTCTAATTGTTCACTTGGAATCAGTAGTGCTTGCTGTTCCCTTGGAATCAGTAGTGCTAGTTGTTCCCTTGGAGGCAGTAGTGCTAGTTGTTCCCTTGGAGGAAGTAGTTCTAGCTGTTCCCTTGGAGGCAGTAGTGCTAGCTGTTCCCTTGGAGGCAGTAGCTATAACTGTGCCCTAAGAGGCAGTAGTGCTAGCTGTTCCCTTGGAGGCAGTAGTGTTAGCTGTTCTCTTTGAGGCACTAGTGCTAGCTGTTCCCTTGGAGGCAGTAGTGCTAGCTGTGCCCTTGGAATCAGTAGTGCTAGATGTGCCCATGGAGGCAGTGATGCTAGCTGTGACCTTGGAGGCAGTAGAGCTAGCTTTTCCCTTGGCGGCAGTAGTGCTAGATGTTCCCTTTGAGATAGTAGTGCTAGTTGTTCCCTATGAGGAAGTAGTGCTAGATGTTCCCGTGGAATCAGTAGCGCTAGCTGTGCCCTTGGAATCAGTAGTCTAGCTGTTCCCTAGGAGGCAGTAGTGCAAGCTGTTCCCTTGGAGGCAGTAGTGCTTGCTTTGCCCTTGGAATCAGTAGTGGTAGCTGTTCCCTAGGAGGCAGTAGTGCTAGCTGTTCCCATGGAGGCAGTGGTGCTAGCTGTTCTCTTGGAGACAGTAGTGCAAGATGTTCCCATGGAGGCAGTAGTGCTAGTTGTTCTCCTATGAGGCAGTAGTGCTAGTTGTGCCCTTGGAGGCAGTAGTGCTAGCTGTTCCTTTGGAATCTGTATTACTTGCTGTTCCCTTGGAGGCAGTAGTGCTAGTTGTTCCCTTGGAATCAGTATTGCTAGCAGTTCCCTTGGAGATAGTAGTGCTAGATGTTCCCATGGAGGCAGTAGTGCTAGTTTTTCACATGGGAGGCAGGAGTGCTTGCTGTGCCTTCGCTGGCAGTAGCACCAGCTGTGCCCTTGGAGGCAGTAGTGCAATATGTTCCCTTGGAGGCAGTAGTGCAATATGTTCCCTTGGAATCAGTAGTGCTAGCTGTGCCCTTGGAGGCAGTAGTGCTAGCTGTTCCCTTGGAGTCAGTAGTGCTAGCTGCTCCCTTGGAATCAGTAGTGCTAGCTTTTCCCTTGGCGGCAGTAGTGCTAACTGTTCTCTTGGAATCAGTAGTATTATTGTTGCCCTTGTAGACAGTAGTGCTAGTTGTTCACTAGGAGACAGTAGTGCTAGCTGTTCCCTTGGAATCAGTAGTGCTAGTTGTTCCCTTGGAATCAGTAGTGCTAGTTGTTCCCTTGGAGGCAGTAGTGCTAAATGTTCCCTTGGAGGCAGTAGTGCTAGCTGTTCTCTTGGAGGCAGTAGTGATAACTGTGCCCTAAGAGGCAGTAGTGCTAGCTGTTCTCTTGGAGGCAGTAGTGCTAGCTGTGACCTTGGAGGTAGTAGTGCTAGATTTTCCCTTGAAGGCAGTAGTTCTAGCTGTTTCCTTGGAGGCAGTAGTGTAAGATGTTCCCCTGGAATCAGTAGCGCTAGCTGTGCCCTTGGAATCAGTAGTGCTAGCTGTGCCCTTGGAGGCAGTAGTGCTAGTTGTTTCATTGGAGGCAGTAGTGCTAGCTGTTCCCTTGGAGGCAGTAATGCTAGCTGTGCCCTTGGAATAAGTAGTGCTAGATGTGCCCTTGGAGGAGTGATGCTAGCTATGACCTTGGAGGCAGTAGAGCTAGCTTTTCCAATGGAGTCAGTAGCGCTAGCTGTGCCCTTGGAATCAGTGGTCAGGCTGTTTCCTTGGAGTCAGTAATGCTAGATGTTCCCTTGGAGGCAGTAGTGCTAGCTGTGCCCTAGGAGGCAGTAGTGCTAGCTGTTCCCATGGAGTCAGTAGCGCTAGCTGTGCCCTTGGAATCAGTGGTCTAGCTGTTTCCTTGGAGGCACTAGTGCTAATTGTTCCCTTGGAATCAGTAGTGCTAGCTATGCCCTTAAATGCTGTAGTTCTAATTGTTCACTTGGAATCAGTAGTGCTTGCTGTTCCCTTGGAATCAGTAGTGCTAGTTGTTCCCTTGGAGGCAGTAGTGCTAGTTGTTCCCTTGGAGGAAGTAGTTCTAGCTGTTCCCTTGGAGGCAGTAGTGCTAGCTGTTCCCTTGGAGGCAGTAGCTATAACTGTGCCCTAAGAGGCAGTAGTGCTAGCTGTTCCCTTGGAGGCAGTAGTGTTTAGCTGTTCTCTTTGAGGCACTAGTGCTAGCTGTTCCCTTGGAGGCAGTAGTGCTAGCTGTGCCCTTGGAATCAGTAGTGCTAGATGTGGCCCATGGAGGCAGTGATGCTAGCTGTGACCTTGGAGGCAGTAGAGCTACTTCCCTGGCGGCGTGCTGTGTTTTCCTTGGATAGTCTATTGTTCCTTGGA